GAGGGGCCCTCAGGTGGAGACTCACAGCTGCTGGCAGAAAGCAGCAGTGGTATTGAGGGGGCTGGTAAGTGTTGTGGGTAGACAACTGACAGCTTCTGCCACATACAAGCAACTCTCCGTGGTACTTCTTAACAAATGAAGTTCCTATTTTATGTGCAACAAGATCATAAATGTGACTCTTCCTGTATCTCGCAATTTCTATGGGTCAGAAATTTGGGAGCAAGTTAGCCCTCTCACTCAGGGTCTCTCATTGGGTGGCAGTGAGAATGACAGCAGCATGTATGGGCTTAACTGGAGATGGAGTGTCTGTTCTCATGAGGTGCTTCATGAGATGGCTGTGGGCAGGACCCTTAGCTCCCTGCGACGCGGACGTCTCCAGAGGGTTGTGCGAGAGTCCTCACAATGTGGTAGCTACTTCCCCCAAGAGCAAGTGACTCAAGAAAGGAATAGACAGCAAGCAGGAAGGTGCAATGCCTGTTTCTGACCTTATCTTAGAAGTCTCATATCATTACTTTCTTTTTATTCTGTTTTCTAGAAATGAGTCACTAGGTTCAGCCCATATGCAAAGGTAAAAGAATTAGCCTCCACTTCTCAAAGGAAGGAGTATAAAAGAATTTACAGATGTATTTTAAAACTTCAGCAGGTGTCTGGCACTCATATATTCTAATGTGAGGTACTAGACCTCAATTACAACTTTTATAAATAATTAAGATGGAAAGGCCCAGAGAACATATCTGGAGTTAGTTGTTATGTTCCCTAAATCCTCCCAACAAGGGAACAGGGATGGGTGGCCCCTTACTTCAAGCCCAAGTGAGAGGGGTTTTAAGGAGACTCTTAGGAGAGTTTGACCTGTGTGTCCTGGAAAGTGGAGAACATAAGACTAGATTTTGAGACATGCTTGAGAAGTCTCAGGGTCACTGAGGCCATGTGCATGAGCCTCAGGCAGTCGACCAAGAGGAGCCAGACCTCACTTCAGGTTAGCTTCCCCCACTGCTCTTTCCCCAGGACAAAGGCCTGAGTTTTCCAGAGAAGTATGACGTATGGGGGGAGCTGGCTTGAGATAATCTAGAAAAGTCCTGCATGGGAACGCCTGGAGCCACGGTGTTGTCCCAAGATGGGGTGGAGCACTGTGTGCACATGGAACAAGCTGGAAGTCAAAGCCACCTGCCAGAAGACAGGCTACAAGCATCTCCCATTTCTAGGAAGCTTTGGGTCAAGGTCCCCAGAAGGAGGACTTCCAAAGGCTCCCAAACAAACATCCCACAAGAGAGCTTCAAACACCTAGTATGGCCAGAAAAATCACCAGTCCTGGATGACAACTGTCCCAGCCTCCAACCCTTTCCCTATTCATCTGTTCCCCCAGACCTGATCCCAGTGGAATTAAAAAACAGCAGCTAGCAAGTGAGGAAGCAGTGAGGTCAATTATATTCCTGGCCCCCCGTCTGCTCTCCCAAGTCCCCCAAGCTGGGGAAAGGAAGCAGCAGATTGTCTGGGCATTCCAAATTTGTATTATAACAGTGAACTGGAATTATGCAGTTATTAGACTGGGCAAGGCATTTTAATGTTATATCAGGAAATATTTGTTAGTATCCAAGACCTCACCAAATCCCTCTCTACCACTCTAAGTAAGATGGAAAAATAAGTTTTTTTTCCTTTCACTTTTACCTAAGAGCTCCTACATTGGCCCAACAACTTTATTGCATTAAATAAACCAGTTATATTTGGAATGTTGGCTGGGGTGGCGGCGGAGGACCTGATTCCTCTGAATTATGAAGCAGGTCATTCTGAAGTGACTCATAAGACATATTGCTTTGCCCCAGCCTTTAAGAGGAATTCTATGTTTTTAATTCTATTTTGAACAGGGAGAATCTAAAAATGAGAAAGGAAGCAACCTTAGTTGTTTGAAAATTGGTCAGTTGCAAGCCTAGAGATCCAGTTGCTAAGGGCCAACCTAGTCCTACTGTTATGGGGCAGCTGCGTCTGGGGAGGTCTCTCCCTGTGCCCTAGTGAAACCTCAGCCTGGGTGATGGAGGGCTCTTGACTCTGACAGGAAAGAATGCAGAAGAGGTCTGACAAGAATAGATAAGGAAGGAATTCATTAAAGCAAGAGATGTAGTGAAGGGCAGCAGCCATCCAAGTGGTAGGGAGCAGGGAAGAACAGAGGGAGGAAAGGGAAGTTCACTGAAGTCCTGCTTAGCACAGGGCAGATCCCTTGCTAACTCCTGAAGCCAGGGTCAGCAGTGTGTGCTTGAATCTGCATGGTGTGGGAACTAAGCCCTCACCAACCCAGGATTTGGGGGAGCCACAGAGCATTGGATGGAATGAGATTATTTTTTGAGAACTTCCCAAGAGCAAAGAAAGGAGATTTTTCAGGCAGGCTACTAAAAAGCATAATCATACAGCTGCAGTCTTGTGTAGGTCATCCAGGAAACAGGATCGTGCAAGCCCACATCAGAAATCTCAGTAGCCCTTCCCTATTTGTCTGAAGTAGGACAGAGAGAGTGATGATTTGTCCTTAAGTCTAGAAAACTGAATGAAATAGAGAAGTAACAAAGAAGCTTACCACTGGAAAAGCACAGAGACATACACAGTAAGTTGAGCAGTGAGAAGTCCTTATTTAAGGTGAAGTACACACTTGAAGAAAGGGGAGCGTGGGCAGCCTCAAAGAGGAGCATGCTTAAAGGCTTAGGATTCTGTGTTTTAAGGCTTTCATAATGGGACAAAGGCCTGGGGGTGTAAGGGTGGGGTTGCTTAGACTTGACATGTGGTCTCATGATGTCTGTGTCCAGTGACAGATATTGTGTCATCATCCGTAGTCAGTCCTCTAGATATTCTGTAGGATAAACTTAACACAAGGAATTTATTGGTCCTATTCTCCAAGTTAGGGATTACCCTCAAGCAGTGGAAACATACCATTTAGAACTGCTTGCCCTACCTTGCGATAGGGTCAGTTATTGGCTGATGACCATAAAATATGTTAGGAATCTTAACTCCTAACTCCCTGTTTTTTAAAATGGAATCTTAGCCTTAAGATGGAGTCCCTCCTGTTCTTACTCTATTATTTATATCTTGGCATTTTCATCATAGGCAGGAAAAACTAATTATGATGCTTGTCTCATGTCCCTGCCCCATCACACTAGACCGATTTTCCTTCTGTGCATGTCTTAACCACTCAGCTCATTTCTAGTTATACACCTGTCCTTGAAGGGCTCCATTTGGAGCCACCCATCACTTCTTGGATTTTAATCACTTGCAATCCCATTGAACTTCAATTCTGTCATTAACTTTCCTGTCAGTTGCCCCACTGCTTGCACTGACTTGAGAAGGCAGTCCACCCCCCACATACGTGGGGAAAGGGCTTAAGGAAGACACTATTCCTGATCTCAAGGAGTTCATCTTCTAGTTTGGACAAGAGCCTGTACTTGTCTAGACTCTCTGAAAATATACTCTTGTCTCTAAGACTCTTTAATGGGTCTCTATCCTGCCTCCCCTAAACACATGGCACCGTGGTCCTCTGCATCAAGATCCATACTGACTCCCTCAAACCCAGGCCACACTGCCATTCCCTCTTCCTAATCAGGAGATACCAAATTCTTCCCTTCTTCCCAACTCCTTCCTGTCCTGCTATGCTCCTCTTCCTTACTCTCCAAGGATGAAGGGGAGATTTTATTAGACCAGTACCAACAATAAACCCAGGTTGCTTTAGGGACTTTTCCAGTCAGCATTGGTCACCTCCCCCGTCTCCTGCAGTCTGTCCTCAGAGCTTTCCACCCCTAGTTTGGGGACTGACTTTATGGTGTGGGCTATGTATAGTTGCTCGTTAATTCAGTAATCACAATATTTTAGCATATTTGCCATAAAGGAGTACCCATCTGTTTTTGCCCTTTTCAGACTTCATTCATTAATTCATCCATTCATTCATCAAACATTGCTGATTTTCTATTTTGTAGGAGCTGATGACCTACAGCTTGGAAGATAAAGACTAAGGCAGTGGTTGTAAGCGTTGGCTGGTCTTTACAGTCATCTGAGAATCTAAAAAAAATACAGATGCTCTGGCTGTACTCCCCAGGGACTGTGGTTTGATTTTTCTGGGGCAGAGCCTGCACATCAGCAATTTTTAAAAGCTCCTGGGTGATTCTAATGTGCAGCTAGAACTGAGAACCATGACAAGACCAAAGCATAAATCACTTGGACTAAAATTAAATGGCAAGAATTCCCTAAAAGATTCGGGGATTACTCTGGGGACCCTGTCCTTTGTCTACACAACACTGCCAGCTCCTCAGTCTCTGCTCAGCTTGGCCACGCTTTAGCCACAGCTCAGGTGGGAGATGTGTCACATCTGTCACAAGCTGAGCAAAGAGAAGGTGACACAATCATTCACTGTTCCTCAGCTGAACGGTGATGACACACCTTTCTCTAGTGACAGTGCACAGTGGTATGGGCAATTGTTGCTTCTACAGCTCCCCGAAGTTCGGGAGTCATAAAACTTTGAAAGATCCGATATAGAGGCAAGACTGAATACCTCTGGTGTTTTTATGCTAGGCGAGAGCAAGAATTTACACACTGAGCACAATGGGAAAAACACTACACAAAAGGGGAGAAAGCTGAGGCAAACAGCAGGTGTCCGCGGAAGCGCCACTTTCCCGTTTTTCCAGCAGGGGGAGCCTACGACAAGCGCGCGGGCCCGAGCTGCCCGGGTGGGTTACGCAACTCCGAGGGCGCATGCTCCGCTGGCGGCCGCCCAGCAGCTGCCGGTGACGCAGGTCCGGGTGGGCGGAGGGAGGTGCTTCTGCCGCTCCAGCGGCTCCTTTCCCGGAGGGCGGCGCGGGCCCTCAGGACTCTCCTCCCTCCCCGTGAAAGCGGCTCAGTAGTTCTGTAGACTTGCTGCAGCATATCGAAGTCAGCCGCCTCTGAACCGGGTGACACCAGCTCAGTGCCACTGTTTTCCAAAAGGGGCTGAATTTTTTTTTTTTGGACTAAATAATAGTTATTGTAGTTACCCTTTGCTGAGCAGCCCCTGTGCGCCTTTACCGAGCTAGATGCTTGAGTGCTTAGCCTGTCTGTTCCTGCTCTGCATTTTCTATTCCCCCATCCTGCAGCAAGGGGTCCTCCCAGCGCCTTGCCTCAGACCTTGCAGCTGCGTTGCTCCAGTTTGCTGTTAAAGGGGAGAGAAGGAGGTAATCAGTCCCTCCCAGATTCACTGGACTTGATCAGACAGAGAGCTTGAGCTTAGAGAATGATCAGGAAACTGAATAGCGTTTGATTTCCTTCTTTTGAAACCCGCTGCATCTTGCTGCCGTTTTACCGTTTAAGGTTTGTGTCTGGGTGTTTTTTGTTTTCAGTTTCCCTCCACTGTATGATTTCGTATCCTAGAGAAGGAAACTGCTTAAAAGGGAGAGAAAAAGTGTTTAGGGGTTCTTTCTGGTTGGAAATAGGATTGGTTTTTTTTTTTTTATCCCTTTCCTTGCTCGTGTCATAAGGAAAATCGTGAAGTTATTTTTAAAATAAAATTAAGAAGGAGGTCAAAACCGAGCTTACTTCCCTGAAGACATGTTAACTGTAGAAATTTTGGACAATAAAACTGGGGAAAAAAAGAGGATAAAATTCACTCATAATCCCTTAACCTAGAGATTATTATGGGTTTTTAATGTAATGTATGAACTGATGGCCTTTTTTCCTAACAACATAAATGCTAAGTTACAAAGTATGATAGAATTATACATACTGGTTAAAGACCTATTGTTTTCCTCATTTAATATATTGTGATAATTGTTAATACCTGCAGAGTTCCTTATCAAATGTCATATAAATGTAACATGTTAACCCCCTACTGATGGACATTAAAGCTCTTTCCTTTCTTTTTTTTTTGCAATGGTAGACATCACTGGGATAATAATCTTTGAAAACATTTACATTTCCTCAGAAAAAAATCCTAGAGGAGAAATTGAAGATCAGTGGGTATTTTAAGATACTCAGTATGTACTTGCAAATGCCTTTCCAGAAACATGGTGCCAATTTGCATTTTCGCCAACAATTATGAGCCATCGCCAGTGTAGCTCCTTTTATACCGTTGGGTATAAAACTTTTATAGCTTACAAATAGTATTTCATTGTCTTTATTTGTATTCCTTTGCCATTTGCTTTTGAATTTCTCAGATTTTATTTAAAGATTTTCCAACAGGCTTAGATTTTGATGTAAGCAAAAAAAAAAAGATAAGAGTATGTAGCAGTCAAAGAAACAAGGGACATGCAGTGGGAGACACTGGCATTGAGCCCTTCTGAGACTTGATGAAACAATGACCCTGCATAGACTGATGCTTTGATGGAGACTCAGGACCTGTCGTGGGAAAGATTCACAGCCAAGAAAATGAGGGACTGTGCATGGGGACCTAGATGAGAATAATTCTATAATCTGATTGCTCAAATTTAATAACTAAAGGACCCACCATGGCCAGAAAGACTAAACATTAAAGCTCTTTCCTTTTTTTTTTTGCAATGGTAGACATCACTGGATAATAATCTTTGAAAACATTTGTATTTCCTCAGGAAAAAATCCTAGAGGAGAAATTGAAGATCAGTGGGTATTTTAAGATACTCAGTATGTACTTGCAAATGCCTTTCCAGAAACATGGTGCCAATTTGCATTTTCACCAACAATTATGAGCCATCACCAGTGTAGCTCCTTTTATACCACTGGGTATAAATCACAAGAATTCTGGTGATTTTTGCTCCTACGGTAGCCTGACATAAGGCAAGACTATAGCATGGGGGGAAGACATGACCTTTGCAAAGTCTTTCTATACCTTGCAACTCAACTCCATAACTGGTCTGTGCACACAGGTGTGCACACAACTTGACTTCTGTGATGTGCCGCTGTGCAGAGCTGGCTATGCATCTTCGCAGATGTCATCTCTCCTTATTTTAACTGTGTGTGACAGAGACAGGAGCCTGTGCTAGGAAAGAGAGAGACAATTAGGAGATATCTCTGCTTTGGGGAGGCAAATCAATTTACAGAACCACCCATTCACTGAAAAACAATTTGCCAAATGCCCAATTTGCAGGATATGAAGGATGTTTGAAGGTTTTAGTTTTATCTTGCCCTGTGCTTACTCCTATCCCGTCTCAGAGGTTTGTCCAGGCTGTTTTGTTAGAGAGGCAGGGCCAGGTTCAGAGCAGGCCAGGGGCAGAGGCAGGAACTAAACTAAAACACAAACAAAACCCTCAGTGAGTCTGAAAACTGATCATTCGTGAAGTTTATTTTAGTAAATTGGCTTTCAACAAATTGGCCCAGAACTCTGCTTTGGCACCTTCTGGAAACATCTTTTCTTTTTTTCTGTTCTTCTCCACCCAAAATTGCACTCTACCTTAGCCTTGAGATTATGCTATTCATAATCCAAACACTCATCATTTGTTTTGGGACATAAAGACTTAAGTATTAGCTGGCTAAATGCTTATGTGAATCTTAGAAGTCCTTTAATAATGTCTAATAATACACAAGATAGTAATAATTTGAAAGTAACTGCTCCTACCTATGCCAGCCTTCCCTGCGGCTCTGCTGAGGTCACTGGGCCTCAGGGAGCCCTGCTGTTGGACAACGAGCACCGTGATTCCTTGTCCTGAATATCCTTTCTTACAGACCCTTTCGAGTCCTTCTGATGACCACCTGCCAATCATAAATAAATAAATAACCATCACTGCTTCCTCCACTTGCCTCTGCTTCTGGGTTGAGTTACTAGGTGTTTGATCTCCTGCTGGACAGAGTCCTTTGAAAGCCTGGCTGCCTGCAAGAAGGGCAGGTCCCTTGTAGTGGTGGAGGAGAGACAAATGGATAAGCAGTTTGCCCTGGGAAGAGCTTCTTGCTGGTTTTCTCATGAGTTTTCCTGAAATAAAAGTACATCTTAGCCCTATTCCATTTTAGCCCTTTTCTACTATCATAGCCCTGACAGAAGCTAGACCCTAGGGAGGAATGAGGTGATGGGGGAGAGAGGGTGAAATGGAGACAGAGCTGTCCCCCCCCATGCACTGGGTCACAGCAGATACCGATTAAGTTCACATTTGTGCACCATTATGATCTCTGTATGGGAAGTGCAAAGTTTATTTTATGGTAAAAATGAATGTGCAGAGGGATAAAAATGTATTTATAAAAACTTCAATGCAAGCCATTACGTGCTAAATGGTAATTTGCCAGAATAGTCATAAACTTACGTGGGTCACTAAGGATGTTGGCAGAGGTGGAACAAGAAGCAGACTTGTGACTTAGGTGCCGAAATGATTAAGGAAGGTGGAAGAGTGAGCTGAGAGACAAGGTCAAGGGTGCACTAATGTATGGCCTGGGATATATAATTGAGTAATGGATGCAGAACACTTCCATCTATCATGTTGGAAATCTAGCAGGTGCCTATTTAAAGCCAGCCTTGTAGACCTCTAGAGCTGGGGATAATTTATCTGCAGTAACAAACAAGATTTGCTCTGGACTAACCATGAAAACATTAAATATGCAGCCCTTTAAATAATCTTACTGCTATATTTATAGATACAGATATAGGTAGATATTTGTGAATTGAGGCCGATCATAACATAATAAACAGCAAACTATTCATATTTTTTTTTAAATCCTCCTTCTGCCAAACAGAAGGAACAATTTCACACTTTACAGAAGACAGGGTCACCTCTGATCTATGAACCATTCTATTTCAAACACGACTTACTGTTACAATTCTGTCTAGTGCATGGTTGGAAAAAGGCCTTTCCATATCTCTCTCATGGCAGAGTAATCCAATTTTCTTCTAATATCCATCTGGTGTTTATATCCATCTCTTGAAATGTAGGGGCTATTAGAATTAGATCAGAAATATTCCATGTAGCACTGGAGCTGAGCCTCATGTCACTGACAACCAGAGAGAGAAAAAAGCTTGTAGGATCACCAGGGGTAGGATGGGCTCCCATACAGACCTTTGGAAGGCCAGCACAGTAGCCTTTCTGATCTGTCCCTTGTTGCTTTCTCCCAACATTCTGTGCCATTTCACTTCACCTCTCATTTCTCCCCAGTCACTCAGACTTCGGTCCACAGTAGTATTTTTTTTTACTTTTATCTACCTTCTGAAAGGTGAGGCTAGAGACAAACTAAGTTAAGAAGACCCTGTGTTCATTAGAAAGAATCTTTCTGCCAATATTCAGGTGATCAAATTTTAAAATTCAGAATTGATCAAAATCAGACCAAGTGATCCTTATATAATAGTGTATTAATAATAGATAGTATAATGAACCAAAAATGAGCTTGGCAAAACTCCCAGGGACCTTTCACAAAATAATGTCCATGATCCGCTTTGCCTATGAAGAGTACCACACATTATCCCACATTCACTTGGGGATGGAAAGACTGACAGAGATCTAGGGACTGTGACCATGACTCTGTGCTGGGCTGGACACCCCTCCAGAGCACTTGGCCTCTCCTCCATTAGAGTGAATGTATGTGTGGAAAGGAACTTAAGAACCTGATTTTGCTCCAAGTAGCTCTTCCCAGCAAACACGTGTGGGAGCCCCTCAGACAGGTGCAGAAGTTCTGCTCCTGGGACAAGTGGGTGAGCTTCTGATTTCCACTTGAATGGTATCATCCGAGTGCAGGTAAGCAAACTGTATGAGAACTGGTTGTGTTTTTCCTGGCTGCATTATCCAGCAATACAGTCCTTAGGTTGACTGGAGGATGAAGCTGACCTTCTGAGGTCCAAGCTTGGCACAAGGCACAGTGAATATATGGGAAAGAGGTCACAAAGTTATGAAAGGGAAACCTGGAGCTTGCTTCTCACCCCAAACCCTGCACTTTCCCACACAGCAGGGTTTGGCATCTACTTGGGTTACACCGGTCATCAGGCCCTAAAAGGAGTGGTAGCATTGGTCCCTAAAACTTCTGAATGTAAATTTATGTGTCAAACTAAGTGACATAGGACAGGTCATGGAGAGTACAGAAAATCTCTGGTTTGAGTTTCATGACTATTCTGGTCTGGACATTTGTCTTGCCTGAGGGTTTCAGCCCCAGGCAAGTTCACTATGGATTCAGTGAGACTGAGAAATGACAATGGAACATTCTTGGGGTAGAAGGTTTTATACCCTGCTTTATTCTCATGGTGGTAGGTGGACTGTTAGAATCACGTCTGCATCCAGCAGTCTGCCGGTCCATAATCCTCTGTCTCTGCCTCCGCCCAGAGCACTGGGTGGAGCTCTTTGAATAGTGACTCAGTCAGTAATAGCTCATTGCCTATGGGTGTGGAAGCATCAGCCTAGCAATATGCTAGTTACCTCATCAAGTAGTTTAGGGTCAGGTGAGGATCCTGGCCATTGGAAGTTCCATTTTCTCCATATCAGAAACATGACACTGCCTGCAACACCCCCAGAGCAAGGAAGCACTGTCATAAAGATGCCTGCTCCCTCCTGGGTCACAAAGGGGCCCATTTCCCCCACAGAGCTACTCATGTCACAGATGGGTCCTTTTTGTCATTTCTGCTTGAAGAGCAGTTGCCTCTAAAATGTACCATAATCTATAGAAAGGGGTTAGAGTATTTTGTTTGTTTGTTTGTGTAAAATATTATTTGTTACTTTTTACTGAAGAAGGTAATTGATACATAACAAGTGATCATTTAAAGCCCCAAAGAGAGCTAGAAGCAAAATTAATAGTGGAAATGATTGAATAGGTATGTATGTAATGCCAATCATTGGCAGGCTATTTCAAGATCAGAAGTATCCTAATACATTTTATTTCTATAACCACCTTTTAATCATTCCTAGGTGCTATTTGTTTTGTAGTGAACCTTAAATGTGTGCTATTAATGTACCAAATGGGGTCAAAGGAAGCTACTCCTTCAAAAGGTAAGGGGAATAAATGTATAAAAAATAATTTTGCTTACTTAAATGCACATTAAGTGGCATTCTCTTGTCAGTAAAATGGAGAAAAAGGCTAAGCATAATGGGTGAAGACCAATTAAGTTAAATAATTAAGCACATTATATTTTCATTCAAACTGGATGCTCATTAGTTAATGAATTGCCTAGTAGGGGCTACTCCCTGGAGATCCACAAAGCTGCTTCTTTCTCTTTTTCCAGGGTATTCTTCCCATGTCTTCTATTTCAGCACAGCAGCGCCAACACATGGAAAGCCTATAAGCACCTGAAAATATTGAATTAGGGAATCTCAACACAGAAAACATCGACAGATTAGTTGAGCTGATAATATTTATGTGTAGCCAGGATAAGTGACTTTTTCAGCTTGTGGTTAAATATGATCACATCACTTTTTATGTTATGCATCCCCTCAATTCATTTTTGAGACCAAATGGTGTTTTCTTAGAAAAATGCCCAGCATCACTTTATTCATTTTCCTTCTTACCAACTTATCCAAGAATGCTGTGGGCTTACTCATTCCAAAGTGGTCGTATTACACAAATGACAGGTGGTGGGTTGGAGAGAGAAAACTAGAAAGTCTGGTCACTGCACTAGCGATGCTGACACCAGGCTCTACTGCCAGAGACTGCTGTGCATAATCTGAGCCAGTTCTCTCTGCCTAACACTCAATGGCTTTTTGTTGTACCAAAGTGGTGTGATTTATCCCCTCCCTTGTCATGAGTTTCTCCTTAGGGAGCTTGCTGTCCTTTCTCCCTGACAGATCTTTTGTCATCCAGGATACAAGTTATTCCAGCTTCAAATATTAAAGTTCAGTCCTCAGCCCCTTACGTCCCTGAAGCCCCAGGGATTCTAATGCAAACGGATGCACCTTGTCTTGAAGACTCAGAGAGGGCAGCCTTCACAGAGCAGTTGGAGGCTCTGGTCTTTTCTTCCCCCTGGGGCATTATATATGCATAGGCAGAACCAAGAGGGCCTCAGGTCACCCTAGGCAGAACCAAGAATATCTGCCCCAAGTTACCTCAACACAGAAGAAGACAGTGTGCTTATAAAAGGAGTCTACCCTACATGATGTCTAGGAATGCCTGGCATCCCTTTACTTTACACACACTCTGAAGGTGAAGGGTAGAAATATCACTGGCTTGTGTCTTTGCTCTAGTCCCTGTTATGTTTTTTGTGACCTTGTGCAAATCACTGTATTTCTCTGTAGAAATAGGTTTAGGAATTTTCATACTTGTCTGTTTAAAAGATAAGTTTTAAAAGTTTTTTAAAGCCTCAGGATTTTTTCCTTCAAAGTCTTACAAATACGAACTTCTACCAGGATATTCTCAGGTGTTACGGAACCATCACTTTATTTTCTAAACCCAAATTTTAATATAAGACTCTGAACCTCCAAGTGATCTTATGCAGAAAACTTAATCCAACCAACTCCATTTAAATCTAGTAAGACTTAGTAATTTCTCAATCAATCTGAGTTGAAAATTTGGACATATTCAAGATGATTTACCTTTTTCTAGTTCCACTTCTGGAGAAGACCTGGTAAAATTCAACATAGTAAAATTGAAGACAGTGTTTCAGAATGGAAGCAGGATACTTTATAATTTCACACTTGTGTCCCAGGTCTGGCAAATGTTCCAGGATTTGGGAAAAAAGTTCAATCCTCAGTCTGTAAAATCTGAGGCCAACTCCCCCCCTGGACACATAGGGCCATGCTCAGCTCACACTTTTTTTGTTCCTTGACCCATCATCCACTCTTTTCTCATCTTATCTATTGCCATTTTTAATGCTTTTCTTTTTAAGAACCCAGGTCTTCATTCCCCATCTGAAGTGATGTGATGTTAATTTTATGTGTCATCTTGATGGGTACCGATTAAACATTAGTTCTGGGTGTGTCTGTGATGGATGAAATGAGCATTTGAATTGGTGGACTTGGTAAAATAGATTGCCCTCCCAGTGCAAGTGGGCATCACCCAACCTGCTGAGGGCCTGAATAGAACAAAAGGCATAGGAGAGAAGAATATGCCCTTTAGGTCCTGTGTCATTGCTTGAGTGGGGACACCTCATCCCACCTTTTCTGGCCCTTGGACTAGGATTTGTACCATTGGCTTCCCTGGTTCTCAGGCCTTTGGACTCAGGTGTAGAATAATACCTCTGACTTTTACCTCTGGCTTCTCTAGGTCTCCAGATTGCAGATGGCAGATCATGGCACTTCTCAGGTTGCATAATCATGTGAGCCAATTCCTCATAATAAATAAATCTCCATGTACATGTAAATCTTTGTGTATATGATTTTACATATTAAAATATATCTTTATTTTATATATATATCCTACTGGTTGTTTCTCTGGAGAACACTGACTAACACAAGTAGATTAAGAAGAAAGAGACCTAGCCTTCCCCAATTCTACTCTCCTTATGACCCTGGCAATTCACCTGATCTTTCTGAGGCTTTGTTTCCTCATTGGTAAGATAAAGAAGTCAGATGATCTCAAGGCTTCTCCTACTTCTGAAATTTCATGACTCATGAATTCTGAATGCTCAGGTTCTTGGATTCTCCCAATTCGTTTTGCCACCCCAATAACTCCTTGCAAATAAATATTAGTACAATCATAGGCATTAGCATGTCTGCAACTTACATGCACTTCAAGCAGCCAAGCACGCCGGGCTTGATGCCAGTTACTGTGACCTTACAGTGATCTCTGGAGATAAAGGTTTTGCCTCCCACTCTAAAACCACCACCACGAGGGATTTCAGAGTCACAGGGCAACACCGTGGATTTGAGAATGGAAGTCAGCCAAGTAAGATTGGGATATTAATTCCAGCTCTGAGATCGTTTCTCTAAGTTGTCCTGGTTTAGTCACTTAAGTCTCCTGTACTTTATTCTTACCAGCCACAAAGTGAACATAACAATACCTTCACACCCTATCTCACAGGATTGCTGTAAGGTGCTCAAGCTCAAAGGCTGACCAGACCATACCAGACCTA